ATATCTCCTTGTGGTTTTGATTTACATTTCCCTGATGACTAGTGATGTTGAGCATCTTTTCATGTACCTGTTGGCCATATGTATATCTTCTTTGGAAAAATATCTGTTCAGGGCCACATGAATGGGCTTGGATCCTAGGTCTGCAGGGGATGACTAGGCACCAGGGACCGCTGGGGTATGGCCCATTTTTTAATCAGGTTGTTTGTTTTCTTACTAAGTTATGTGTTCTTTGTATATTTTGGATAATGGTTCTTTATCAGATGTGTCTTTTGCAATATTTTCTCCTGGTCTGTAGCTTGTCTTTTCATTCTTTTGACGGTATCTTTTACAGAGCAGAAATTTTTAATTTTAATGAAGTCGAGCTTATCAGTTTTTTCTTTCATGGATTGTACCTTTGGTGTTGTATCTAACAAGTCAACTCCAAAACCAAATCATCTAGATTTTCTCACATGTTATCTTCTAGGGGTTTTATCATTTTGTGTTTTACGTTTAGGTCTGTGATTCATTTTGAGTTAGTGTTTGTGAAGGATGTAAAGTCTGTGTCTAGATTAATTTTTTTGCCTGTGGATGTCAAGTTGTTCCAGCACCATTTGTTGAAAAGACTGTCTTTTCTCCATTGTATTACCTTTGCTCCTTTGTCAAAGATCAGTTGACTATATTTGTGTGGGTCTATTTATGGGCTCTCTATTCTGTTCCATTGATCTGTTTGTCTCTTCTTTTGCTAATACCACACTCTCTTGATTACTATAAGTTTATAGTAAGTCTTGAAGTCAGGTAGTATCAGTCCTCCAACTTTGTTCTTTTCCTTCAATATTGTGTGGGCTATTCTGAGTCTTTTGCCTTTCCATATGAACTTTAGAATCAGTTTGTCAATATCCACAGAATAACTTGATGACATTTTGATTGTGATTGCATTGAATCCATAAATCAAGTTGGGAAGGACTGACATCTTGACAATATTGAGTCTTCCTATCCGTGAACATGGAATATCTCTCCATTTATTTAGTTCTTGTTTAATTTCTTTCATCAAAGTTTTGTAGTTTTCTTCGTATAGATCTTGTACATATTTTGTTAGATTTATACCAGGTATTTCTTTTTTGGTGGTGCTAATGTAAATGGTGTTGTGTTTTTAATGTCAAATTCCACTTGTTCATTGCTGGTATATAGGAAAGCAACTGACTTTTGTATATTAACCTTGTATCCTGCAGTCGTGCTGTAGCAACTTATTAGTTCCAGGAGGGTTTTTTTGTGGATTCTTTGAATTATTTACATAGATGGTCATATCCTCTGTGAACAAAGACGGTTTTATTTCTTTCTTCCCAATCAGTATACCTTTTTGCCTTTTCTTGTCTTGCTGCATTAGCTAGGACTTCCAGTATGATGTTGAAAAGCAGTGGTGAGAAGGAACATCATTGCCTTGTTCCTGATCTTAGAAGGAAAACTGTAGTTTCTCACCATTCAGTATAATGTTAGCTGTAGGTTTTTTGTAGATATTCTTTATGAAGAAGAGGAATTTCCTTTCTATTCCTAGTTTACTAAAAGTATCTAATTCTTTTAAACAGCTACAGAACATTTCATTGTTTTGAAGAATCATATTTCATTTAACCATTCTTTTTTGATGAACACTTGGTCTGTTTCCATTTCTCTTTGCTGTTATAAGCAGTACTGCCATGAACATCCTTATACGTACCTCTTTGACCCCATATACAAGTATTTTTCTTTTACAGATACCTAGAAGTATAATTGCTGAGTTGAGAAATATACATATTTTAATTTTTTAAATGTTGCAACAATTACAAACCTACAGGAAACTTGCAAGTACAGTATAAGGAACTTTTTTTTCCCCTAAACCACTTGAGAGTAAGTTGCTTACCTGATGCCCCATCACCCCCCTCCCCACCAATATACTTTAGAGTGTATTTCCTACAAACACGGACATCCTTTTATATATCCTCAATGTAACCATCTGAATGAGGAAATTAACATTAATGTATTACTACCACCTAATACTCAGACCCCATTCAGGTTTCGCCACTTGTCCCAGTAATGTCTAATACAAGGAATTCCCATTTACTATTCATCTAGATTTCCCAGTTGTACCACATTTGGTCTGGTGTGTGTATGTATCTCCAGATATTTTTTCTGGATCATTTCAGAAGCAGCTGCAAATATGATGCCCATTACCTCTTGATACTTCAATGTGCATTTCTTAAAAACCAGGACACCCTCCTCCATGACCACAGTACATCCATCAAGATCAGGAAATTGACAGTGCTCCAGTATTACCATCTGGTCCACAGACCTCATTCAGATTTCACTGATTGTCCCAATAATGACCTTTATGGGTTCAGGATCCAATTCAGGATTTTCTGTTGGATTTAGCTGTCACAATTTCCCTGATCTCAGGGATTGCAGTCTCTCAGTGCTTGTTCACTGCTGTGAACTGTTGCCTCACGTTTTGTCCATTTTATAGTTGTTTATGATGGGAGGGCTAATCTGATACCAGTTACTCCATCACAGCAAGAAGCAAAAGGCTACTTTAGAATTTTAGAAGCTCAGTTATTAAGTGCTACAACTTTCATTTTCTTGGGGGATTATAAGCTTTATTCCCATAAAATATTGCTCTTTTCCTATTTAGAGGTTTGGGTCTTGAATTTTATCTGGTTTTATATTAATATTGCCACATCTGTTACCTTCTTGTTTGCATTTACCTGGTATATGTGTCTATTCTCTTATATTCTACCTTTTTCTTTTTTGCCATTTTGTTTTAGATGTACAGTATATTTTTCAACAGTATATAGTTATCTTTTTATCCCATTTATCTTTTGATAGATTTACTCTATTTGTACTCGTTTTTTACAGATATGATTGTACATATTCTTATGTGAAAGTTCATGTTTTCTATTTAACACGTTTCTTGTTTCTTTTTTCTGTCTGGTGACTTTTGTTGGATTGATTTTTAGTTGTTGGTGTTGACCTTTCATTTTTTTTCTTGAATGAGTTAGAGATTATATGTCCTACATCTCCTCTTTTAGTGCTTACACTTAATTTTTTTGCTATAGGAAATGGATTTTTTAAAATAGTTTATTTTTAGAACAGTTTTAGATTTCAATGCAAAACTAGTACAGAGAGTTCCCATATGCTCCACACCCAGTTTCCCATATCATTAACATTTTAAATTAACATGGTACATTTGTCACAATTAATGAACCAGTATCGATACACTATTATTAACTAAAGTCCATATTCTATTCAGATTTCCTTAGTTTTTATCTAGCGTCCTTTTTCTGTTCTAGGATCCAATCTAAGGCACCACATGACTTTCCATCATTATGTCTCCTTAGGCTCTTCAAGATGTGCCAGTTTCTCAGACTTTCTTTGTTTTTGACCTTGACTGTTTTGAGGAGTACTGGTCAGGTATTTTAAAGGATGCCTCTCAATATGAATTTGTCTGATGTTTTTCTCATGATTATACTGGGGTTTTTGAGAGGAAGACCATACAGGTATAGTGCCATTCTCACCACATCATATCAAAGATATATACTATCAACATGACTCATCGCTGTTGATGTTAATCTTGATCCTCTGGCTGCTGTAGTGTTTGTCAGGTTACTTCACTGTAAAGTTATACTCTTCCTCCCCTACCTTCTCATACTGTAATCTTTGGAATGAAGTCAACACTTATAGAGTGGGGAGTTATGCTTCACCTCCTTAAGGGATAAATATCTACATAATTTGAATTCTTCTATTCTCTCCCTTTTATGTGTTTGTTTAGCTATTTATTTATATCAACATGGACTCATGGATATTTATTTTATACTTTGGGTTATAACCCAATACCACTTTATTTTGCTTAAATTGTTCCAGCTTTAGCCATTGGGAACTCTTTCAGTTGGCTATATGCCCCTTTGACATATACCCATCAATATCAATATTTTTTAAAGTACTTCCTGGCACTATAAGAGGCTCCAAGCTCATCTTATATATTTCCTGCCCCAGTCCTGGAATCAGCCATTTCTCCAAGGAGCTCTGGTTCCTTGTATTGGAGAATGGTATTTAGAAACCAAGATCTGAGTGCTAGGTGTGCTCATTGCTACTGGGGTGTTGTTGCTTCTAGGCCCTCTCAGCTGACAGAGCAAGGGGATATATATCTGCTTACTAGTATATGTACGTGTCTATAAATATTTCTGTATGTAGCCATCTGTATATATATTAAGCTAAATGGGATTCATACTGAGGTCTCCAACTCTAAGCTATTATCACATGGATCATTCTAGCCTTTTCTTTGTATCTGCAACATCCCTCTCCAACAGTGAGAAGCCTGGCTTCTACAGTTCACTTTTATTTACTTATTTGTTCAATTCCAGTGTATATGCATAGTGGTTTGCTTGAGAGCTGATCATGTGTATACCCCCATGGCAAACTATGTGCCCATCTAGAATGAATGATAGCTGTCAAGTTTGATAGCAAGCAGGGTTGGGCAGATGGGTCCACTTCTGAGGACAGATTCTCTTCTGAAAAAACTTTTCCCCAGAGTCTTTTCAGTTACGTGTAATCAGTCAGAGCTGCTTGGTCTAGGTGTGGGTGCTGGAGTCAGGGGGGAAAGTACCCTGGATTGACAAAATGCAGAGCAGTCTTTGTGAAACCTAGAGTGAGGTGAAAGAACTTGGCCCATTATCAGTGGAGCTTTGGGCTCCAATATCCCTGTTGAAAAAATCATACTATGGAGAAGGTTTTTTGTAAGATTGTATTTCATGTTCTATACAATTGGGCCTTCAACCTTCTAGTGGATGAAGGTTGTTTTTGTTTTTGGTGAGGGTAAGTTGTTTGTAGAAGGATATCAACTCAGTATATCTTTGGATAGCTTCAGCTGGTGTCCTTTTGTAGCATTACGTTCATGACACTGTCTAAAGGGAAATGACCATTACAAGTGAGTATTTCACTGTTATTTTGTTTCATGCAAAGATAGTTAAATTTAAAAATCATATTTTAATTTTTAGGATCCGGGGACTTTGGCGATGGTTTCAGTCTGGAGGATGCAGTGAAAGAAACTTCCTCAGTAAAGCGTGAGTAGTAAATCAAATAAACTATTAAAAGCAAACAATAGTGATTAATATGTACCACCCACTCAGAATACACACTCAAGGAAAACAATAGGTGGCTTGTATTTCACTTGATCAGATAAAATCAGGTTATCATAAATTGCATTATTTAAAGAAAATCTGAATATTTGAAATGCTTTGTTTCTTTTGTGGAGAATACCAAACAATGTGTAATAACCGATATAGTATTTTCTCCAGCTCAAGTCATAGCATCTACTGGTGTGACATGCCAGCAGTGACCCTTGAGGACTGTCTTTTCCTAGCTCAGAAAAAGGTACTCTGAAGTGAATAAGGGGTTTGTTTCTCCTTTTAGATTTTTTATAATGGCTTTTCTTAAAATTGTATCTATATATAATCTCTCAAACGCTAAGCTTTCTCATCAGTTTCTCTCTCTCTCTCTTTTTTTTTTTTGTGGGGAAGATCAGTCCTGAGCTAACATCCATGCCAATCCTCCTCTTTTTTTGCTGAGGAAGACTGGCCCTGGGCTAACATCTGTGCCCATCTTCCTCTACTTTATATGGGCCGCCACTGCAGCATGGCCTGACAAGCGGTGCCTGGGTGCGCACCTGGGATCCGAACCCCGGGCCACCAGCAGCAGAGCACGCGTGCTTAACTGCTATGCCATGGGGCCACGCCCTCAGCAGTTTCTCTTTAATTTTTTTTGAAAAAAATTTAAACCATTCTTTTTAAAAATGCATGAATCTTAGAAAGTAAAGCTGAGATTCCCCTTAACACCCCCCCTTCTGTTTGCACCACTCCCATCCCAAGAGGAAACTGCGGAAGTCACTTTGGGTTGGGCTGGTCCCAATTAGTTTTTTATGCTGTTATGTACATATGTATATACAGATTGTTTGGTGTTTTTTGTTTTATATAACATATGTAGGGCTTTTTCATTTAGTTATATGTGTATTATTTCACAACTTGTTTGTTTACTTAACATGTATTGAAGACCTGAGTGAATGTATCTATCTATATTAGTTTGCTAGGGCTGCCGTAACAAAGTACCACAAACTAGGTGGCTTAAAACCACAGACATTTCTTCTCTCACAGTTCTGGAGGCCAGAAGTCTAAAATCAAGGTTGGCGGGACCACGCTCCCTCTGAAGGCTCTAGGGGAGAGTGCTTTCTTGTCTAGCTTCACTTCTGGTGGTTCCAGATATTCCTTGGCTCACAGCTGCATCTCTCCAATCTCTGCTTCTGTCTTCACGTGGCTTTCTCTTCTGTGTGTGTGTGTCTTCTCCTCTTCTATCTCTCATAAGGGTACTTTTTGTTGGATTTAGAACCCACCTGGATAATCTCATATCACGATCCTTAACTTTTTTTTTTAATTTTATTTATTTATTTTTCCCCCAAAGCCCCAGTAGATAGTTGTATGTCACAGTTGCACATCCTTCTAGTTGCTGTATGTGGGACGCAGCCTCAGCATGGCCGGAGAAGCGGTGCATTGATGCGCGCCTGGGATCCAAACCCGCACCGCCAGCAGCGGAGCGCACGCACTTAACCACTAAGCCACAGGGCCGGCCCTCAAGATCCTTAACTTAATTACGTCTGCAAAGACACTTTGTCCAAATAAGGTCACATCCATGGGTTCTGGGGATTAGGACTTGGCTACATATTTGGGGGGCCACCATTCAGTCTACTACATTATCTATGTCTGTCTGTCTGTCTATCTATCTATATCTTTATATCTCAGACACAAACCTGTGCTTCATGGAGCTGGCATTCCAGTGGTGTGTCTTTGGCCATGGCCAGTGATGCCATTTCCTTACTGGCAGACGTGTGGTTTGTTTCTGTTTTGCACAATTACAAATGAGGGCTTCAGTGAACATTCTTGTCTATATCCTTTGTGCTGAAGTACAATGGAACTACCAGGCCAAAGGGTGTATGTATTTTATATTGTAATAGATTCTGCCAAATTGTTTCCCTAATGAATGTGCCATTATATACTCCCACTGATACTGTTATGAGAGTATCTTTTTTCCAAGACCCGTGCCATCAACAGATTTTACCAATCAAAAACATTTTACCAATATGATGGACAAAATATCTTGTTACTCCTTAGGCATTTCCCTGATTATAGTAATAGGGAGCATCATTTCATATATTTATTGACAATTGGCATTTTCCTCTTTGGTGAATTGTCTGTTCATGTCCTTTCCCCATTTTTCTGCTGGGTTGCTTGTCTTTTTTTTTTTTAATGGGTTTGTGGGATCTCTGTATTTCTGGGTTGAGAATGGCAGGGGCTCTGGAGCCAGACTCCCTGCATCTGAACCCTGCCTCTGCCACTTACAACCTGTTGCCTTGGGTGAGTCACCAGGCTTCTCTGCACCTCAGTTTCCTCATCTGTTGCATGAGGTTAATAATAAGCCCTACCTCCTAGGAGTATTGTAAGGATTAGATGAGATGGCCCTTGTGAAGCACTCAGTGCAGTACTTGGTACACAGTGAGTGCTCAGAAAGCATCGGCCATTATTGTTCTTTGACTGATGTGACTGGAAGGACTGACTGTGGCTGAGTCTCTGGTGTAAGAGTCAAGCATACATGCGGAATGCAGGCCTACCTAAATTGATCAACAGACTCAGCACAATCCTGTAAAAATCCTAGCTGGAAGTTTTGCAGAAATGGACAAGCTGATCCTCAAATTCATATGGAAATTCAAGGGACCTAGAATAGCCAAAACAATCTTGAAAAAGAAGAAAAAGTTAAAGGACTCACATTTCCCAATTTCGGAACTTCCTACAAACCTGCAATAATCAAGATGGTGTGGTACTAGCATGAAGATAGATATGGAGCTCAGTGGAATAGAATTGAGAGTCTAGAAATAAACCCTTACATCTATGGCCAGTTGACCTTGGACAAAGGTGCCAAGACCATTCAATGGAGAAAGAATAGTCTCTTTAATATATGGTGCTGGGACAACTGGGTAGCTACACGTAAAAAAATGAAGTTGGAACCCTGCCTCACACTTTATACAAAAATAAACTCAAAATGAATCATACACCTAAAACTATAAATCTCTTAGTAGTTCATTTTTATGTATGGTGTGAGGCGAGAGCTTCAGGTATTCTCAGGTCTTTCCTGAGTGTGCTCGCAGTCCTACACATGCAGGTGGCCTTTTAGATTCCCAGGAAAATATATTCACTTAATTTATTAGCCATGATGGTTTTAATGAAATCGTTTAACATCTCCAGAAACAAACATGACCAAAAGACAAAACAAACATAAGTATAAACAGACCCCCAATTAGTAAATTTGTTAATTTCCTAATGGGGGACTTTTTCATATTTACATCCCTTTCTCAGTCATGTGCCTGCCCATCTGATCTTTCTCATCCACACCCATCAGCCAGTGTATCTGGAACCCATAGGACCGCCAGCCTGTGATGTCTTTGGTTGAATGACATCCTTCAAGACCATATCACTCTGCCATTCTTTTTTTCTATCTTAACTTATGTTTCATGCCACTGAGGTTTCAAAGAGATAGGCCTGTCTCTCTCTCCTTGGCTCAATTTTTTTTCTGGTGGAGACTGTTCTCCTTTGTATGTTGTACATTTCTTGTTTGAAGAATCCCTGAACCACCTAGGTCAGGGTGTTTTAAATGACCTTCATGCATCCATTCAACAATGTTTGAGTGCTGCTTGCTGTCAGGCACTATTCCAGGTGCTGGGCATACCATGTGGATGAGGTCAGTGCCCTCATGAACTTATTTTCTCTGGAAGGACACAGACAGTATGTACAATAATTTCAGATATTACTGAGTACTCTGGAGCAAATACCACAGGCTGATGGGACAGGGAGGGCCCAAGGAGGTGGTAAGGGGTGGCTACTTTAGATAAAGTGGTAAAGGCTTCTCTGAGGAAAGGTGGCATGCAAGGAACGGGGAAAGGGCCTCCAAGGCCAAGGGATCAGATGTAAAAGCCCTGAGGCAGAAAAAAACTGAGCTGGCTCTGGGGCCTGGAAGGTGGCCTCTGTGGCTAGAGTGTGCAGAATGTTGGAGAAAAGACAGAAGTTGGCAGGAGCTGGATCATATAGGGTCTTATAGGGCACGGTGGCCAATTTATTCAAAGTGCAAGGGGAAACTTCTGGATTATTATTTTAAAAAAACAGCTTTTTTGAGATATAATTCACATACTATATAGTTCACCCATTTAAAGTGTACAATTCAGTGGTTTTTAGTATATTCACAAGGTTGTGCAACCATCACCAGAGTCAATTTTAGAACATTCCATCACCTCAGAAAGAAACGCTGTACCCTTTACATATCGTTCCCTGCTGCCCTGATTCTTCCCCTCCCCCAGCCCCTGGCAACCACTGATCTCCTTTCTGTCTCTGTGGATTTCCGTATTCTGGACATTTCATATAAATAGAGTCATGTAGTACGTGGACTTTGGCTTCTTTCATTTAGTGTAATATTTTCAAGGTTCATCCATGTTGCTTTCAGAATTTTGCTCCTCCCCCTCTCCATTCCTCTCCCATTCCTTCATTTTCTCCTTCCCTCAATCTGCCCTCTCTCCATCCTTTTTTCCCTCCCCGTCCTCCTCTCTCCCTCCTGCTCTCCCCCATCTCTCCCTCCCTGCATCCCTCTTTCTCTGTGTGTGTAATAATCATCTCACAGGGGAACACCCTTCAGCTTTTGCTGAATAAAGCTTCTTATGAGTGTCCCCATTTCCTCGGAATGCCATGGGCACCATGGTTAAGCCATGCCTGGGGGAACCTGACTGGTTTTGTTTACTGTTTTGTTGTAGCACATGTCATATTCAGTCCTGGTACGAGAGCCACATTGCTGGCAGCAGTGGCTGAGCAGCAAAGAATCCTTTCTAAGTTTGTCATTTTGAGAAAGGCTTTACAAAATAGCTTTCTTTCTTTTAGGAGCTCACTGCTTTGATGAAGTTGACCTACTATTGTAATACCTTGATAAGTAGCTAGACTTTCCTCATCTCAATTATGGCTGATAATAAATCCCATTT